CTGATTTGTACCGTCAATGTGGCCCGTTGAGGGGGGCCAATATGCTGAAGTGGCCCTCGGTGAAATTGAGTTTGACACTCCTGTTGTAACAGAACTGGGAGAACTGGTTCAGGTTTGTCAGCCTCCTTGCTCACACTTGTTCAGCTCTACTCTCAGGTTTCCCTAAGATCAGGGATTTGATGTCCACTTGAAAACAATGACTTCTTTGTACATTGTCTGGAATAAAAGAAGCAGTCTCATTCCTGAACAGAGTTATGGCGACAACTTTAAACTCCTTCCACATCCTCACTGTGTGCATTCTGTTCAAGGACGGATGAGATTTTATAGTGAAGGACACACACTGCCTACATTTCTCGTGATAAATTCCCTGATTTCCCACAATCCTAATGGATTCTAGAAAGTTTGCTAGCTAGCCCCGTTTTTAGCCTCCACACACCTGCCAGATTATGTTGGGGGCAACATGAAACTGCTGCTGCGCATGCTACTCAACAGGTTGTTGCTAGGTAACCAAAGAGTGAGTGAGTTAGTCAACGTCATCAACCTTAAACCCGAGTGAAGTTGGCCCCTTCACCTTCTTCAAATCTAACAAAATTGGTGTCAAATGTTTGTGCAGTAAAGATTTTAGTTTGTGCCGCCATGATTTTAAAGATTTTAACAAAAACCGCTTGCCCCGCTTACATTTACAAAATTTAACAAATTTGGTGTCAATAAACAGTGTTATGTTTGTGCAGTAGATCATCAGATATTTTTATTAATATCTTTAAAATGATGGTGGCACAAAAAAAATATTTGCTGCACAAACCAGCACAAACATTGCAGTTGATTTACACCAATTTTGCTAGATTTGGGTAAAGTGGAGTGGGAGGGAGGAGCTGGTTGACCTTTAGACCTTTAAACTTTCATTAATATCATAAAGCAAAAGCACAAACAAAAGATTTTGCTGCACAAACATAGGAGACTTGACTGACACCCCTTTTCTTTGATTTAGAGATGGTGAAGGGGCTGGTTGACTTTTCATGACCTATAGAACCATTTATTAAAATCTTTAAAAATAAAACGCAGCACAAACGTTTGCCACCAATTTCATTAGATTTAAAGAAGGTGGAGAGTCGACTTCAGTCAGGTTTCAACTTTTCTTGGTGGGACCTGAAAGAATGAGCAGCTAAAGCATTTCCTTTTCCTACATCCCCCAGAATGCTGTGCGTTTCAGGATTGGACAACATTCTATCAGACTTTTTTTCTACAGACATTGATCAAGTGTCTATTGTTTTATTGCCCAGTCCGAAACGTTGCAACTAAGTGGAAAAAATGAAGCGTTGCTTCCTGGTGTGATTCAGCATTTTGTGGAAAATGCTGATTCATTTCCCATAAAACCCCGTTGAGGAACAGGTTGGTTCAGGTAAAATAGTGACCATGAACTTTCCAGGAAACCTAAAGGCAGAGACTCCAATCCCTTCTAAAGTCATTACTTTTTACTGTGGTCATAAACTTATCACAGAAAGTTAAACATCAGAAACAATTTAAAATACCTCCTCTACTGTTAATGTTGCTAAAAAAGGAAAACGTTCTTATATCTCCTTTGAACATTTTTAATTCTTCTGAAATCAGCCTCAGATATTTGGAGTTATTGCATGTTGGGAAAAGCCTGGTAGTCAAAACAGAAAAGGTAGCAATTACAAGTGAGACTAAGCTCAACATAAACACGAGTCACATGAAGGTCAGCACCTGCACATGGTGCGTTTCAACTGATTTCTGGCCTTTCAGACATATATGGTGGGGGTTCTTTAAGAGGGAATGGGGGCCGAGATAATCCTCTTATGTAGATCAAAACATGCAGTCACCCTGCTGAGGTTTCTCAAGATTTAAAGGGAAATTATACAAAGAACTGAAAGAGAAAAAGGCTGAATAAACAATAGATCCACTTTGTATAAAACAGGTTTCTTTGGGGTCATATCTGAAGGAGTTTTCATTAAAAGTTTAAAATGTTACTCACTGTTCTTGTCAGTAGTGTCGTCATACTCGACCAGAAAGGAGTAACCGTTGTTCCAGATCTGCTGGCAGGTCTGCGGGTCATAGCTGGACTCCAGCGGCTTCAGCTCCGAGTCGAAGACGGCTTTTTTCACAGCGATGTCGATGGGAGACTGATGATCCCCTCCTGGGACCTCCAGGGGCCCATGCCACATAGGGTGCACTGGAGACCAGGACAGGAAGGAGAGAAGAAGAAGCAGAGGGGGAAAAATTAAAAAGGAATATCAGATTTCATGAAGCTGCTGCTGTTTCCATCAAAACAAAAAACAAAAAAACAAATGCTGACACCTACTTTCCCCATTGTGCTCAGCTGCCTCCAGCTTTTTCAAACACTCCATTTTAAAATATCTATCAACTACACTCAAGTCCTACAGGGACACAAACTCCTCTGTACACTGAGGACGAACTAAAGGGAGAAAATAAGTCAGAGAGGAGCAGAAGGAAGTTTTTTTTCTTTAAAGGAAACAACTAAGAAAGAGAGAAGTGGGCCGGCTGTAGAGGGAGTGACACTCGGAATGTCCTGGCATTCCCCCAGCTCCGCTCCACAGCAGGAGCAGCAGACCAGGACCTCTGGCAGGTCAGAACGTCGGCTCGCGCTCTTCTGACTTCTAATTACCCCAAACTCAGCTTGGCGTCCTGAGAACCTCCAGAAAAAACTGTCCAAAAAAATAATAAAAATCTACTTCATCCTTCTTAATCCAAACCAACAGGATGCAACCAGAAACACAGAACCGTTTGCTCCTCTTGTGGTTCCTGAACGGGTCTGACTCGGAGCTTACCTTCATCTTCATCAGACTGCAGTAGCTCCTCCTCCTGTGGTTGACTGTTCACACAATAACTGCTTACCAAGTCGCAGCACACTGCGCTACTCTGAGCTGTTTGGTAATCCATCTTGTGGATCATGTGTTAATATTAGACAATATTTATAAATCAGCTGAACTGACAATTCCCAAAACAAAACTTCAGCACAGGATGAAGATGAGCAGAAACAGCCAACAACAGATGTTGCTACTGTTTAAATATTATATTTCAACTTCTGCTTCAAATACCACAAAAATCATGAAAATTGGTTGGCAATTATTCAATAAAGTTTATCAGATTAAAATTAGTACCAATCGAAACATTAAACAACATCTGAATAGACGTTCATAGTCTTGTAGTTTGACCTCTATCAAGCAGAGGGCGCTGCTGCACATTGAGCTGTTGATGCAGAAATAAAGATGGCGGGGCCATACTGAAAAGACAAACAGCCCAAACAGAGTCCAGTCTGGGATGCAAAATCCTCTTTAAACAGAACCACTTAAACACATGACAAGCTCCTTAAGTTTCTCACTAACTTCAGACGAGCTGAAGTTAGTGAATAGTGGACCTGAGTCAACTTCTCATTAAAAAAAAATACTGATTTGCTAGGATGACAGAAAGGCAGAGGAGATAACGCAGAAAAATTGTAACATGATCGAAAAAAACATGGTGGCAGGGTAAGCAGGGTTGATTTTAAGGGCATGAGTTAATGCAAAGTTTTTAAATTCCTTTAAGAGCAACCACAGACTGTATTTTTGTATGAACGTCTATGTTAATGGTGAATTAAGTGTATCACATATTTTATTCTGTTGTTTTTTTTTTACTGTTCTGCATCCTGAGAGATTTCTGTTTTGTTATATTTTATAAGTAACAATTGGAAAAACATCTAGTACACATTTCTATTTTTTTTACTTGTTATGAGAAAAGACTATTTTGCAGTTTGAAGCTGAATATCGGCCATGTGTCACAGAAAACAATAACACAGTGCTTCAGCGGCAGTAGGACCAGATTTCCATGATTTCCAGTCACCACTTTGGTTGTTTGACACCGACTTTAATTGTTTATGAGGAATTGGTTCACGGGCAGAGAATTAGAAGAGTATGACGTGAAAAGCTGCTGGTTTATTAGCCATTAGACATTATGAAGGTAACTGCATCCAGAGTTGTATGGCTGGATGAACCACAGCTTGAAAGTAAAGACACAACCTTCCAGTTTGCATTAAATCAAGCTGGAAATGGCCATATATTATCATAATCCCTGTTTTATAGCCTATGGATTGAGTCAATCAAATTTTATTAGAATTGAAGAGTTCTGGCTTCCTACAGTCCACAAGCATGACCTTTGGGATAATGGTCTATCTAAATTTCCCTTAAGTGTGTGTGTGTGTGTTGTCCTGTACAGGTGGAACCCCCTAACTCTCACTATTTTTCGTCTGTTTAAAAACGTCAAGACGCCAGAGGGAAACTACTCCACACATATGAATATTAAATGACAGTCTGATATCAGAGATAATTGTCAAAAGATAATCCTACAGAATCTGTCCATTGAATGATCGGATATAGTCGAGCAGTTAATTTAAAGTAGATTTAAGCTGCACTTCATCCTTTTGGCCACAAGATGTCATCAAAGAAGACAGTGCAAATCAGCTGGAAGAAATTAAACTTTTTCCATACACGCTTTAGAAGTTTTGATCATCATTACAACATAAATCAAGTGAAAAGAAAAAAAGTTAAAATGTCTGTCTTTATTGTTTATTATTATTATTATTGGAAAATTTAAAGCAGTGGTGTCAAACCATTTCATTTCAGGCCATATCATGATCACAAATGTCATCAGAGGGCAGGATGTGGCAAATTGTACTGATAAAACTACCCATTAACAATTATTATTATCAATTTATTATTAACAATAATTTGATGTCTTAATTTGATGCATTTCTTGAAATTCAATGATGTGAAGCATCTTTATACATTGATGTAATTTGGCAGTATACTGATGAAACTGCTTTGATTTGATTGGTAAAACAACATTTAATCACACAACTGATTAAATTAAATAGAGGGCCACATAAAAACTTATGGCAGGCCATATTAGGCCCCTGAGCCTTGAGTTTGGCCTTAAGCCATTAGACATTATGAAGGTAACTGCATCCGGAGTTGTATGGCTGGATGAACCACGGCTTCATAATGATCACATGATTTAAAGGTGATCATTATGAAGGCTGATATTTCAGATAAACATCTCCTAATTAACATAAAAACAAATGAAATATGAATTTATTCTCCTTTTAATTGATTCAGAAAAAAACGCAGCTTTGTTTGTTATCGTTTTTCCATTTCTCCATGTTTTTTTGCATGTTTTATTTGTGGCCTAAAGCGGGACAGAGAAACTTTATGTAACTGGGCGTTGTAAGACAAGGACCTGACAGACCAGAATGGGTGTGTTTAAAACTTTATGGTCATTAAAAATACATTTGACATGTGATGACTCTTAGAGGTGGATTAGGGAAAATAGAAACTAAATCCACAATCAAACTAGATAAAATCGCAGCGGATTAAAGCAGTTTACGGACATAGAGTTCTTTCTGGTGCTGAAATCTGATAGTAAAGTGTAAAAGAGATAAATGGAGGTTATGCAAACTCTTTTGTTGGATTACAATAGCCTCAGCAGGCAGTTGTGTGAGGCAAAAGGCTTTAAATGGACAGCATCGTCAGGAGTCATTATTTGTCAAAGCGCGAATTGTTATTGATCTGCTGCTTTTTCTTAAAAGGGGGCATGCACCCATTTCCTCCTTCACGGTGTCACAATAAAATGTTCTAATGTCACAGCTGAACCAAAATAAAACATGGAAACATGCAACTAACATCATCTGTACTCACTCTGAGACAGGACATATTTGCTGGAACACGCTGTGAGGTTGCACCGTCGGACAGGCGTTATCCTGGGACTCATGGCGTGTCTGACGAGCTGTCGCTGAAGGTGAGAGACCAAAGGTCTAACCGCTGCAGAGAAAGTCACCATTTTCCTCCAAATGACTAGACCTGCTTCGTTGAAAACGGCTACGCTGTGAATTATAAGGGCTTCTCGGTTAGAGGCGCGCGCAGCTAGCTGTTAAAACTCCACACTAAACTGAAGTTAGCCGCCTGTTCAAAACACTGTATCGACTGGCAGCTACTTCTTCCTTTGTATCCTCCTCCTGCTCATCTGGAGGCGGAGAAAAACCTTCAGAATGTCACCGCAGAGGAAAACCACCGTTTACAGTGAAGCTACAGCGAATGGCTACATTCCTCTAACCCGTTTAAATGCGCTGCTAGGGCCGTAAACAGTTGAAGAAGACCCTCGGTGGTTTACCAGAACAGTCGATGCAAGGAGGAGGGGCTGCGGTTTTGACCAATCAGAGAACTCCTGTGAGGGGTGTTAGCAACAACCATAACAACGTTAAGGAAACCGTCAACACTGCCGCGAGGTGTCACAGTAATTATTAAATACCCTGTTAAAAACCTGTAAAAAGGCTTACAACATCATTATTCCGACATTTGTTCCAACAATAGCCTAATATTGGGACGGCTCTTAAAGTGTTAAGTCTGTTTAGACTATTTCACCATAGTAAGTGGAACACTGATCACCATATTCGATGTGCATTGATGATTTTGATAACGGCACACATGTAATGTTTGCTACTATTTGTTTTATGGCTTTTTATTTTTGTGTTTTTATGACTGCCGAATAGACTTGATTTATTGATAATAAAATAGAAATAATCTTAACCCTGGTCAGTGGATGTCCCAGCAGCAAAGTGACATGCAAGTCGAACCAGCTAGATTGTACACACAATAAAATAAAATAGTGTCAATAAGGGTAAATTTACAGTATAAAAAAAGTAATCCAGTTTTAAATCGAACATACTCTGATTCAAGCAAGGTCTTTAGTTAAGAAATGCACAAAACATGCATGAATATTTAAACTTGAACATCAACAGACAATTATTAAGTTTTAAAAAATGTACACAACAGAAATGTACAAATAACAGAGATGTAGACACTTATTGGGCTTGTTGATAACAGATGAGAGGAAGGACTTGTGATAATGTGATAGCACACAAGACAAAATATAACAGTGTAGAAATATCTCTTATTGTCTCTTATTGTAAATTCAGGTGTAACAGCAGCAAGATGACATGCAATCGAGGCCTATCGGTTCAAAATATATAAAACAGATAAAACAAGAGTACTGTATTTTTATGTTTTATTTTTAATGTTTATTTTTTATTTATTTATTTTTATTCAACATTTTAAATGCTTGTTTATATCTCTTACATTTCAGCACCAGAATGAGCCCTTTACTTAAAACTGCATCAATAGCCTTTGATTTTATTCTGTTGTACTGTGAGCTTAGCTAAATTTATTCTAGTCACATGAAAAAAAAATACATAGTTGAAATGAACATAATTTCTGCAAGGATCACATATCAAAATAATAAATATTTTACATTAAAATTGTTTGTTTTTAAGATATAACATTCATGCAGTTAGAAAATATTAGTCAATATTAGTTATTATAAGTAAGTACACATAGATTAAAGGTGCATTTCATCAGCAGGAACAACAGTACTCTATAGGAGGCAGCTGAGTGGAAAGAATAAAAGTATCTGCTGCTGTTAACATTTTACCTTTACCCACTATACTAATTGCATTCTATCATTTCTATCAGTCTGTGATGTTGTCATTTGGTTTCAGCTTTTCTTATTTATAAGCAAAGTTGTATTTGTATTAATCTTATTGAAACTGGTTATAAAAGACCCCAGACATATCATCTCTCTCTGACCCAGTGACTTTTGGTCCAATTCAACTGTTTTCTTCAGCTTGTTTACGAACCTCAGCGTTGCATCACTGTTTATCATCAACGTCACCTCTGAGTGACGAAGGCCAGTAACTTTGTTTACAAAAACTCTTAAGGTATGTACTTTACTAATCTGTGGAAACTGAAGGTAAACTGAATCTGTGGCTTCGCTCAGATTTGATTTCAACACGTGTCCCAGGTGAACAGTCTGTTCCCAGCTCCTCTTTACATTCTTCACAAACATCTTAATGTGCAGCTGTTACCTGTGTTCAGACAAGCTAATGAATAGCAAATACTTCAATAGCAAATATTTAGACATCTGGCTCTCATATTTCGCATTATATTCTGCTCTGTGCACAGAAAACTGTTTTACTGAGAATAATTTTGACCCATTTGGCTCTTGTGGAGCAGTTGGTCATAATTATTTTCACTTAAAACAAGACATTTTTGCTGTAAGTGAAAAAATCTGCCAGTGGAACTAGTACTTTTTTTTTTAATCAATATTGAAAAATTGACTTAAAACAAGCTCATATATCTTGTTGAAAAGTTACTTGTGAGCTAGTTTTGTTCAAGTGTACTGAAATATTTTCACTAGAATAACTTGCTGAGATTTCATGTTTTTGTATTGTAACTGAACCAAGTTGCTGTACAATAACTGTCACTGAATCATCTCAGTGCACGATTATGTTGATGTAATACAAATATTTTGTCACAGCCTTTTCTGAACCTCTTTGTTTGTGGTAATAAATGTTCCAGGACTGTATGTTCCTTTAGATAAGAACATTTTACAAACAGACATTGTGACCTTTAACCTCCATTTTTAGTTTAGTAATCCTTTGAGTTATGCTCAGCTGGCAAAGTGTTTACACTATGATGGTTGCCATAACGACGCTGTCAGGATGAAAGCAAAGTGGCAACGCAGAACAATAAAGTGATGAAACAGGAATATGTTAAACTAAGTTCAGTGCAGTTGATTTGTTTCATGCTTACAGGTCAAAACATTTTAACAAACATTAAAATGTTTATTTTATGACATAAAGCATTATGAGCTGCCTTGTTTTTGAAATGTGTTTTACAAATAAACTGTAGATTCATTTTGCAGAGAGGTGTATATTCTAAGTATTAATTTCTACTAATTTTGATTATTCTGGTTTATAATTTCAGTAAAGCATTAAAACTCAGTCTGAGATTTTGTTAGACCATTGCAGGCTAACGGAACCACAAAAGCCAAAAAGAAACTTGACAGAAAAAGGTCAGAAACTGTTGTATTTATTATCTTCATTAAATTGGTCCAAAAGGTTCATCAACAGAAAACCAATGTGAAATAATGGACACACAGGAACCAGAGATAGTCAGCTTTTAACAGTAAATAACCGCACTTGTGGTTCTGAAGGCCGGCTCTGTCAAATTAACCTTTGACACTGACACAGCAACCGTAAGCTTCAGGAAACTGAAGCAGCTGCAATTTTCCTTGCGGCCATGTTGGCTCCTCTGGTATAACTTATGAGGCTTCTCCAAAGACCAGAGGCCTTGGTGTGGCCAAATTAAAGAAGATATTAATACATGTTGCAAAAAACTTGTTTAATTGTGGAAAAGAGGTAGCAAACTAACACTCTTATGGCACAAACTGGCCAGAACCTCTCAGTGTGTGTGCACGACTGGACCCGTAAGACATCGACTGTTGACCTCTTTCACTGTTTTTTTTACAAACCTCCACTGACATCCTGACTCGTGTTGTATGAGGAGTACAGTACATTTATTTAAAAAAAAAGTACAAAAAAAGCACTTTTTAAACCATCAAGAGAAGCAGTTCAAGACCTTAAATGAATAAAAATATGCAAACTTGACTGCATTTTCAAAAGTTTGTTTAAAATATTGAATCTATTTACAGCGTCATGTCAGAAAGTTGGCATGAAAGCAGAAAAAGGAGCGGGGACTAAGAGATGAAAGTGTTCTTCATTGAACTGGTGGTTTTATTGATTTCAGCCTACTGTCTGTTTGAAAACACAATGATTTCATCAGAGTCCTTCAGAGCTTTAGTCCAAAGCAATGATATCATCGTCGTCATCATTGTCTGCAGCTGATTGGTCCGTTCGAGGGCGCTTGGTGGAGGTTTCGCCGGTCTCTGAGTCCTCTTGGTGCTTCCTCTTGGTGGCGGTTGGCGGCGCCGCAGAGCTGGACGGTGCCCCCACTTCCTCATCGGAATCTACTATCATGATGTCATCATCGTCTGCTGCAGCTGAAATCCAAGACAATTAAAGGTGACTTAAGATGACTTCCTTAAAAAGGTTAGGATGGATCTATGGCCTAAACAAAACATCTTCATTATGTTTTCTGCACAAAATCATTCTCAGATAATGAGACCTCAGCCTGCTCAGTTCTGCCTGTGATGAGCTGTTTTAGGGCCTCCTGTCAGTTTAAATCCAAACTGCTGTTGGCCACGCCCACTACTCAATTTTTACACTCGCAAACAACGTTTAAACTCGCAAACCATGGCTGCTAACAGATGTGCAACTACTCAGCCGTAAATATTTGAAAGGCATTAGTAGAGCCTCCTACACAACCAGCAACATTGCAGCAAGTGGTTTCTGGATGGTAAGTCAACAACAAAACACTTGCCTTTTCCAGCAGTAATTGTAAAACCAGCTGACCAAACGTGCTGGTGTTCAACTTGGGTTGCTAGGTAACTGGCTGGGCTTCACTTGGGTTGTTAGGTAACAGCACACTGCCCACTGAATGTGACTTAAAAAGGAAGTTTTTGAAATGGCAATTTTTCAGACACCAAATGAAAAAAAAAAAAAAGCAGATTTACTCACACATTTTTCAAATTCACATTTATGTTATGATATAATTTCATTATATCCAATTAAATCTCACAAAATTAAGTTGGGATCTTGAGAAATTTTCCCAGGAAAGTAAGTCTTTTTTATTTTCTTTTTTCAATATGTTTTAACAAAAATCAGAATCAAAATTCTGACTTTAATCTTTTGAGATCAAAAGTCATACTTATGTGTTTGAAGTCAAAATTATGTGTTTGAAGTCAAAATTCTGAGAAAAAGACAATTATGAGAAATTTAGACTGTTTTTCTGAGAATTTTGTGAAAAAGTTCTGAGCAATTCAGAATTATCTGAATTTAAACTCAGAATTCTAATTTTTGATGTCAACATTTCAGATTAGTTAAAAAAAAAAATAAAATAAAAATTCGTCATTTTGGCCTGCTTTTAGAAGCAGTTGAGACCCATATGGAAGCATAAAAACATGGTAAATCATCAGGCCAGAAACATAATGAAAACATTTCCATCTTTAAAATAAGATAAAACATGAAAATGACGTTTTGATACCGACCTTTAGAAGACGTGGACGGCTGGGCGGAGTCTTTGTTTCCGTTGGTGATGCTGTTGACTTCCTCCTGGTTGGTCTGAGGGGGCGGAGCTTTGTCTGGAGCCTCGCCCACTACCTCAAACTCCACATCTCGCTCAAGCTCCTCACTGCCAACAAAAACAAATGATATTACATCTATGTTTTCTGTTTGTTCAGGAGAATCGGCATA